AGTAGCAGGAGAGACAGGAGAGGTCTGCTGCACCAAATTTGGGTCAGCTCCTGGCTGGGGATTGAACTCGTGCTGCAGTGGCTGCAGCAGCAGTCATAGTGCTGAGCTTTAACATGTTGTGCCACCAGGGAGGGCTCCTTGACCCTGTCTTAAAAAAAAAAATTAGCTTGATGCTCAAATTTGGGCAACACTGTTTATTCCCTGCTTCTCATAAAACGCTGCTGACCTTGTTGCTCTTGGTGTATCTGGAGCCGAGGTACAGAAGGCTGATACTCTGTGACCCTGGGTGGGGGCACTGTGCCATTCTAGGCCTCAGGTTTCCTTGTGGGAAAATGGGAACATGCCTTCCTGCCTTGTGGGGCGATGAGGTTGGCATCAACACCCTGGGGCAGATGTTTCTGTCTGGGATGAAAAGTTCTGAAAGGGGGTGGTTGCATCACTTGGTCAATGTGCTAAATACTCCTGAATCATGTGCTTTACAACAGACTGTGACCTCGACCTCTGGGACACACTGGGGTCCCTCCTACCTGCAGCCTTTTCTGCCCGCTCAGCCCGCAGGCGCCCAGCCTCCCGCAGCACAGCCATTGCTCGGATGGTGGCCCGGAGCACAGCCCAGCGGAACACGGCCACAGGGTCCATGCCGATGAGCTCCCGCACATAGGAGCTGTCGCTGCCCCGCAGGAGGGCCACGATGTCTGGGCGCATGTAGTCCATGTTCTTTTCCCGGAAGTCCTAGGGGGGTAGGGAAGTGGTCACCTGTCAGTGCTCACTGAGGCTACAGGGGCCGATGTAGAGGAGCAGGGAGGCTGGCACGATGGGCCCAGCTCAACTGTCCCCATGGAGTCAGGGATCTGGGGCTGGGTCTGAGCACCCGGAACCCTGCCCAGCACGATCAGTCAAGGGGATGATGGGACAAGCCATCCCCAAGGGGTCTCTGGGGCAGCCATGAGGTCCCCTTATACCTCCTAGGTTGACAGTGGCTTGGCAACACGAGCAAGGGACTGAAGCATACCTTGATCTGATACTTCACTTTCCCTGCGAAGTGCTGGATGATGAATGCCGGCTCCATGACAGGGGTGCCAAGAAAGTACCTGTTGTCCTCATGTTGCTGCTTGAACTTGGCCAGCAGGGTCTGACTTGTGGCATGGGGAAAGCTGGGACAAGGAAAGGAAACCTTTAACTGCAGGAGCATTGGCTGATCACAGATTGCCCTCCATGGACCGGGCAGAAGGTGCTGGGGCTACTCTTTGTTAAGCTATGGTGCAGCTTAGCATAGGGCCCAGGGGCTGCTGTTGGGGCAAAGAGACAGCCTTGGGGCTGCAGGATAAACTGGGTGCAGGGCAGCCTGATGCCCTGACCCTTGGCAGCTTCCAGGAAAAATCCTAGGAGGATTCTGGTTTTAGATCTGTCTGTGCCTGGATATGCAATGTACTGGAGGGGTTCTTGTGTATTCTCCTGTTAGAAGGAGGGGCTGGGAGATGGAGATGAAGCAGATTGGGCATCTGGGGGTCAGTGGGAGGGGGCTGGAGGTGAATAAGGGACCCCTTGTATCTGGCTATTTCTGTCTCTGGAAAGGAAATGCCAAGTCAGGTCTGGCATGCCATGCTGTGCCCAGCCCCATTGCTCACACAGGCGGCACAATGTTCCTCCTGATAAATTCCCAAACCTGGGCTCCTTGGCTTAATAGAGGTGAAGGTTTAAGGATGGGGAGACTGTATGAAGCTTGGCACTGCCAGGACTGAGGAATGGTCATGATCAGTGAGGAATGTGCTCACTCAGTCATGGGGGTAAATAACATAACAATGCTGCTTTGGAAAATCCAAACTGATGCAAAAAAAAAAAAACCAAAAAACCCTACAATGAACAAAAGTAGCAAGATTTTAAACAAAGACAGACTGGACCCTGCTGGACACGACACAATTTCCCAGATCCCAGGAATTCCCAATGACGATTTAGATTAGATCTCAGATGTGAATGGACATGTCTGTCCCCAGTCACGACTAGGAATTTGGTCTGAGGCAGATGAGCTAGATTAACCTCAGCCTCTTGGGCTTCAGCAGTAAATGAAGGGCCTCAAAAAGTTGTTTATGAAAGGACACATCCATATCCTGACTCCTGGAACTTGTGAGTGTGACCTTATTTGGAAATAGGGTCTTTGCTGACAGAATGAGTTAAAATGAGGTCATTAGGGAGGGCTCCAACCCATTATGACTGGTATCCTCACAAGAAGTGGAGACAAGAGACCCACAAAGGAGGGATGGAGCAGAGGCAGAGGCAGAGAGCACTGTGGCCACACACCAAGGATGCCTGAGGCCACCAGGAGCTGCTAGAAGCAGGAAGGATCCTCCTCAGAACACTGGGAGGGAGCATAGGCCTGTCACGCACTGATTTTAATCCACTGATTTTTAATACTGATTCTGGACTTTTTGCCTCCAGAAGTGCAAGACACAAAGTTTCTGTTGCTTCAAGTTATCTTGGTAACCTATTATAGCAGCCAAAGGAAATAAATTCAGCAAATGAATTTTAGTGACTTCTATTTCAGGGACTGCTACCGCATGATTAAGCATGAGGTTGCTTATAAATATCCCTGCCAGGCCTCCCTGGCGGTACAGGGGTTAAAGTCTCAGCACAGTCAAGCCACTGAGTCTCACCAGTCACTGTAGCATGAGTTTGATCCCCAGCCAGGGAGATGACCCACATGGCGCAGCAGACCTCTCGTCTTGTCCCATGCTCCCCTCAGCAGCGTATTTCCGTGGATCTGCCTGTTCCGCTTCCCCACTCTGTCTCTGGTGAATCCTTTCACAGCCCCCACCTCTAGCTTACACTCAGCTCTTGTATGCATAAATAAATCAATTTTTAAACATCCCTTCCACTCTTCACCAAGTCCTGCGGACAGTGGGTGCTGGGTCTGGGCAATCCACCCCCAGATTCCACATGTTGCCTTCTGCAAGGACACACGAACCGAGCCCCACAGAGCCTTTGCCGAAAACCCTAGGGCAGGTGTTTCTAAATTCACAGTTGTCACAGGTGTTAATGTTTATGTGGTGAACAGGATGCGTGATTTGCAAGCCTGAGCTCAGGATTTGCAGTCAATGAGCCCGAGAAACTCTCAAGTTCTCTGAATAGTTTGGATTTGGGGTAAGGCTTTCGGGGCTGTGGAAGGGTGTGTGCACTGGCTTGTAGATGGACCAGAGTATACACTTACTTGCTTTCCTCATCCAGTAGGTAGAAGAGACCAGTGGGTTTCTTGCTGATGAGATGGATGCAGCCAACGTTGTCTGTGTAGTCTATGTTATGCCATGAGATTCCCTCACTCTGGTACTCCTCCTGCAGGTTTGATGAGTGGCTGGTAAGTTCAACACTTCATATTGTATACACTGATACTTAGCGATATGTAATGGAAACACATTCTTTTTTGTTAAATTGAAGCAACGCTGCCATATAACATTATTTATGAAGTACATGTTCTTAGACATCTATCATAGCAAGGTACTTAAAATTACCCAGAGATCTGTAAACTGTAAAGGGTCAGAGAGTTAATAGGCTTGCTGAGCCTGATGGTATCTGTCATAATTACTCAGCTTTGTGGTATAGAGTGAAAGCAGCCACAGACCAATAAACAAATGGACATGGGCATGTGCCAATAAAACTTTATTTGTAAAATAGGTTGTAGGGCCAGACTGCTCTGAAACAGTAACTTCCCATAGTCATACAATGTGAGTGAACTATTTTCTATTCAAATTGTCTAAGTCATTTGAAAACATAAAAAGAAACCAGTGAGGCTAATTTTAATAATATACCAACGTAACCCACCATTTCCAAAATATGATCACATACATAAAAATTATTAAGGCATTTTATATTCTTTCCCCCACAGTACATTTTCACAATCTGCTATTTTGCTCACAATCTATATTTTGCTCTTCCTAAATAGCTCAATTTGGACCAGCGACATTAAGTGCTCAACAGTCAGAAGATATAATAGTAAAACCAGTAAAATCCATCAGTTTTTCCCCATCAGAATCATCACTGAGAAGGTCTATAGTTGGGTAAAGACAGCTGACTAATAGTGAGAAGATGAGAAGACACATAAAATCTATTACTGTTCTTGACCAAAGCAAATCCTTCAAGGCAACACTGTTTCTCAATGAAAGAACTTTCATGTTTACACAGAGGCAAGGAACAAAATTTACCTGTGGCCAAGAAGATCCCTGATGTTTTCCTCATCCTGGGCTGGGGTGATATGGGGCATTTTCCTGGACTTTCCCTCTCACAACAAAAATTTTTGGCATGGGTTCACTGACTAACTGGAGACCCCAAGGGAGATCCCAGTTCTAGCTCATTCTAGACACCCACAGCATCTCCTTACCTGTTCCAGTTTGAAAATATGTTGGTTGAAGTAATACTGGAGCTGTTCATTGGCATAGTTAATGCAGAACTGTTCAAAACTGTTTCTCTCGAAGTCCTCAAATCCGAAGATATCAAGGACCCCGATGGACAAGCACTGGTGATGACAGAAAAAATGAGAGAAAACAGTTTCTACCATGGGTCCTCCAGAGGGACTGTCCTGTCTGACCAACACTGCCATCGCTGCCTTGGAATTGGTAACAATTGAATAAGGAACCTTGTATATTTATTTTGTACTGGGTCCAATGAATGATGAACTATCCTGGGCTTACCCATGGGGGGAACCCACCTTTCGCTGGACTCCCAAAATCCTGGGACTTTAAGTACGTGCAGCATTGGGGGCATGGCTTCCTCTGGCCCAGCTTAGTGGGGTGAGGGGGGACACTCACCGACACAGACTCCTCCATGTCCTTCTTGTTGAGGAGGGCGTGGTTGATACGTAGAACGATCCAGTCGAACAGGGCACTGTACAGTGACTTGGCCATGGAGTCGCGGGCAGTGATGGCCTGTGGGCACGGGCGAGGGGGGGCATCAGAGCTTGGAGGGATCTATACATTTAGGCAAACTGAGGCAGTGACTATAAACCTGACTCACCGAAACCCCCCTTCTCTGTTTTATTCCATCTCTCCACTGGCACACCTAAGCATGAACCGCGAAGCCAGGGCCCAGCAGCCTATAATTGACCATGCCCTTCCCATGTACAAGTTCCCGTCAAAGAGCAACAGGGGACTGTGGAGGTTAGAATGTAGGCGCTGGAAGGCTGCTGGACTCACACATGGGAGAACTAGCCAAGGAGGCTGGGCTGGGTTCAAAGTTGTGCCCTTAATGTTCTGGGAGCATTCTGGGAGTAAAAACAGTAATGGTTATTACTTTTTTTTAAACAAAGACTTACTAAGGCCTAATTTATAGAAAAAAATTTTCTCCTTTTTATGTACAGTTACACATCACTTAACAATAGGATACATCTTGGGAAATGCATCTATATTAGACAATTCTGTCATGGTGCAAAGGCAACATTAGCCATGGATTCTGTATACTTTGGGTCATGATGCAGAAAACATGAAGATTAAATGAAGCACAAGGGAAAATCATGCTATCGAGAGAATACAAGATGTTTGAGACTGCTGCCTGTTTAAAATGCAAAGATGTCAGGATGGCTGTTACTAGGAACAGGAATCAGGGGACCACTATTATACAGTCACATGTCACTTAATGATGGGGACCTGTTCTAAAAAATGCGGCGTTAGGCAATTTCATCATCGGTGCAAAGGTAGTGTTGTTACGCAAACCTATGTGATGCAGCCTACTGGGAACACAGCTGTATAAACTGCTGTGGGCTGAAATGCCACCAAGTGATTGACAGATGTGCTTGGCTGCTATCAAGATCTAGAATGTGTCCCTCTGGCTTTGCCTTTTACAGGGGTGGTGGAAATGGAGCCCTATGGATTTCAGGGGTCCTGCAGCAACTTTTGCATAACATTGCAGAATGTCTCTGCCCCTGGGGTTCAGACGGTCTAGGGTGCCTGTTTGAGATGTTGGGCCAACTTCCTAGCTGGGCCATCAGCTAAACATTCACCCCTGCCCCCATGGATACTATCTAAACTGTGAAACAGTCATAACGGAAACATCCAGGCTAAAGCTCAGGTCACTGATATGCCTCACCAGGATTTAAGGACCCACGACATAGTTTTAAAGGTGCTGCTGTAGCCTTGGGGTTGGAAAACTTTTTCTAGAAAAGGTCAGAGGGTCAATATTCTCGGCACTTTGGGAAGAAGCAGGTAAATGAATGGTCACGCCATGTGACAGACAAGCTGTTTACAAACACAGGTGGTGGTGGGCTGGATTTGGTCTGCAGGTCACAGGTGGCCACATCCGCAGAGCCGCCTGCTGAGCAGTCTGAATGCAGACATGGACATGCACGGCTCAAATTCTGGGGTGGAGTTTGCTATTTGAGCTGAAGAGCCAAGCCTGGCTCAGGAGAGAACCAGAGGGTCCCTGGGTTCTCCTTTTGTCATTTTGGAGACAAGAAAAAGATCATCTATGCCAACTGTTTGTCATGACCCCCTGAACTGGTATTTTGGGTCTGGTGTTCCTGAGAACCCAGGGCAGTGCTTACCTCGCTGAGACTGTAGGGGAGGATGAGCTTGTCGTTGGCAGTCACTGTTTTTCTTTTGGTCAAAACCTCCACCAAGATTTCTCTTCTCACCTGCATAGAGGTCCAGGAGGGAGGAGTGAGTGGAGAGCTTGTTGGGCAGATCTCATATCCCTGAGATCAGGCTCACGGCCTGAGGAAGATGGAAAAGGATGCCTGTGCCTGCACCAAGAAGCCTACTGTAGGGTAAATGAAGTTAACGGGCTTTTTGCTGCTTCCTGCTACTAGCATGGATGCCCGGGGCGGAGAGGCACAGGCTCAGGGCACACGTGTCTATGACTGCGGACACCAGGGCCTGGAGAGCACTGAGTGTGCATGTGTAACTGTGGGGACCTGTGCCTAGAGACCAGGGATAAAAGGGTATCAGCACTCTGAGACAGGGCCACAGCTACGGAAGGAGCACTCTGCGGTGAGTCTATGAGACGAGAATGCCAGAGAGGCCAGAGAAAAAGCCCAAAGATTCAGGGATCTGGTGGGCTGGCTGCCTACTGGGCCTCCTGGCCCCCCTACGCAGCCCGTGCCCGCCTCCTTCCACGCTAGCATCTCTGCCTGGCATGCCTGTGTACCTGGTTTCCTAAGAGAGCATTAAAGGCCTGCAAAAATGCACTGAGGGCTTATCCAGAGGCCTGTGCCTGCTTGCACTAGACCCACCCTCACAGCTGCCACCCTGTGATGTGTGTGACAGGTCCCTGCCAGGGAGAGAGCCCTTCAGAAACAAGGAAGTGCGCTGTATAGATGTGGGGAGAAAAAAGGTGGACCCAGTCTGCAGAAAGCATGGCTGACGCAGGAAGTTCTGGCTCCCCTGCGCCACAGGCCCTGCGCCCGAGGGAGGGCAATGGTACCTTCAGGAGCTGCGACAGCGTGTCTAGCACCTCAAGGGGCCCGACTTCCAGGCCTTCATCCCTGCCGGTGGCTCTTTTCTTGTAGGTCACGTTGCCCAGGTACAGGATGGCTGAGAGAACTGAAAAAATCCTGAGAGACAAAGAGTGCATGGGGATGGTGGCGTATACAGAAACTTCCAGCAAGCAAGGCTGAATTACTAGGCTCACTCACTGTAAATCCAGTAATTGGCAGTCAGGATACATGGAGTTTCAAAAATCTGGAATCCCACTGTCAGGGACTCCCTCTGTAGAGAGCTTTACAGACCAGATTTTTCTAATTTTTTTTTTTTTGGGGTGGGGGGGGGTGTTTAAAATTTTTTTAATGGATGTATAATTGCCTACAAAAAAACCCCACATAGATGTATGAAAGTTCTCCTAAGGAGTTAGAGGAAGAACCAGGAATTGGAATTTTTGCACTTGAATTCCACTTAGATGTTCTTTACCACTGTTGTTCCACAAATTCCCATCCCGAATCTGGAATCCTGCCTCTCTTTCCATCTGGTAAGGGTCCTATGAATATCTACATTGTTATAAAAAGTTAGGAAGAATTCTAAGACAGAAATAGATTACTATTGATGGCGAGAAATATTTTGGACAAGGTCGCCTTTTATTATTGTTGTTATTATTATAATTATTGTTGTTATTAAATTATGTGTATTGAGGAAAAAAAAAAACACAAAAAACCCCACATACTCTCCAAGCATAGAGGTTTGTGAACTGTCACAAAATTTATAAAGATCCTGGCAACTGGCAACTAGCATGAATATCAATGTTCCAGATTCCAGAGGAGCTGCTGTCCTGATGGCTAGTGCTGACCATGAATTTGATGTCAATGAAATCGTATATACTTGTCCATGATGTGGGGGTGGGGTGCCACCCTGTTACTGCAAGCAGCATACTTTGATGTGAATGGCTTCATCGGCATTTCGGCTTCACACTGGCTCTCTGCTGTGTGCCATCTGGGCACTCTGGGGGCTGAGCAGCATCCCTGGCCTACACTTACCAGACACCAGTGTCCCCAACCCCACTCCTCAGTGTAATAACCATGAACACGTCCCCTGGGGGCATATCTGGCCCAGAGAGCAGTGCTGATGGTGGACAAGTAATGGGGTCAGGCCCTTTATTGCTGGCCCCTGAATGCATGCACCACCATTTGTTTAATCTTCCACTGGTGGACTTTGGGAGATTTCTGGTTATTTTTGGCTATCAAAACGAGGCTGCTGTGTGCACTTGTATATGTGTGTGTGTATGTGTATGTGTGTCTTGGGTTGAGTAAACGTGTGTCATGTATACACAGCTGTAGCTGAAACCGCCAGACATTTTCCAAAGTGGCTGGGCGAAGGGGGGCCCTCCCTGCAGTATGCTGGGGGTACTGGCTGTCTAGGGAGGTGTGGATGATACTGCGTATGGTTTTTAATACTTCTCTAAAATTTTAGTTGATGGCAAAAAGCACATTATATAAACTTACCACCGTAGCCATTTTCTTTCTTTTTTTCTTTCACCTTAGCCACTTTTAAGCATGCAGTTGTGTCATGATAGTGCATTCACGCTGTGTCCCTCTGGTTCTAACTGACATATCCTGGTGACTAATGACAAGAATCCCTTCTGTATATTCAATGTCATCAGACTACCCTCTCTGTGCAGCAACCACCTGGTGTTATCAGACCTCAGGTGACCATAGGGCAGCTGGTGAGGTAGCAGGGGGTGCCCACAGGGGAGCGGGTGAGGTAGCAGGCCCACCCACTTACTGCTTCTTGGTGGCAGGGAGGAAGCCCACCATCTCCATGGCTTGCTTGAGTCTTTCAAAATCGTGCTTTAGATCCTCCCCATCTTCGATCTTCAAGTTATGCTGAAAAACAGCCGCATGCCGGGTATTTCAGGGCCAGTGAGGGTGGTGTGCCAGGATGATTTTGGCTGGGACTGATGGGCCGGGCCCAGGGCATGAGGAATGAATGGGGGCCTTTATATGGTCTCCTTGGAGCTGATTTGGGGACTCCATAGAGGGCCAAGGAGGGCGGCCTCCGACCTCCAGCAGGATGGGTAAACAACCAGCAGGGAACAGAAGTGGCGTCTGTAGCCAGGACTTGGGCTGTTTACCTGGTTGAGGTAGAAATAATCTTCAGGCTGCTTGAGTTGGAATTCTTTACGTTCTTCCTCGCTGACACCAAGTAACAAATAGTAAAACACGTGGTAGTTCCTAAGAGTGAAAATAAGGAGAAAAAGTCACTTTTGGAGGCCAAGCAATAGCTACTTTTCAAACTACTGCTAACATTGCTTCAGAGACACAGCGCCAGGGAGGAAGGAGCACTCAACTATGTGTAAGTTTGACACAATAAGTCATTCCTCAATGTCTTAAGAAAAACTAACCTGAGCTTCTCCCATGAGTAGATTTCTGTGTATGTGATTGGGGGTGGGATGGTGTCCCTGTCACTGGCTCATCAGAGAGGCTTCTAATCTAAGTACACTGTGGCACACATGAGCCCCTAGTCTGGGTCAAGGCCCCCGGGAGGCACACAGTAAGTACAGAAGGCTGGCTCAGGAGCAGGCCTGGAACGTGCCATGGACCCGCCCTCCAGCCCCAAGTCTGAGTGCTTGTTTGTTGCTACTGGGAAAAAGGCAGATGTGTGGTGGGGTCACTAAGGAAAGATCCTACCTCTCATCCTTCTCCTGAGAGACCAGGCGAGATTTCTCAAGCAGGTATTTTTCGACAATAGCTCTGTCATGAAAATGAAAAAGGGTATAAAGCATTTATTTGAATATCGTTTCGTGAAAGAACTAGAGTAATTTGTTGCTGTGGCAAAGTCAGCAAAGAATTAACTTCCTTCAACATGAGGTAAATACAGATGCATAATCATCCTGAACATGGCAAATATAATCAAGCTAACTGCTGGAAATGTAATTACTTAAATGTTGCAAATATAATCATTCTACATGGGGTAAGCACAATCCTAAATTGTAAATATACCCCTACATATCATAAATACAACCCACCACCTTAAATGTTGCAAATAGAATCATGCTAAGTGTCATAAATACAATCACCCTAAATGTACAAACACAATCACACACTGCTTAATGATGCATTTCATTCGACAATGGAGCACATAGGTGATGGGGGTCCCCACAGGCTGTACCATCGAGCCTGGTTGGGCAGCAGGCTGTCCCCTGTAAGTTTGTGTAAGTACATGCTGACATTCGCACAATGATGAAATTGCCTGAAGACGTTTCTCAGAACGTGTCCCCCTCACTAAGCAGTGCATAATTGTAGTGTCACTCAAATGCCATACATACCTCACTTGCCCCCATGTCCTGTAACTACCACCTCTACAATTAAGTACCTGGACTGACCACGTCTGCTCCCCAGACCCGGTGCAGGCTGGCTGCTGCATGGTGAAGCCTGACGTGGTATCATGTGGGGACCCCCTTCCTGGAGCGACTGGACCTGTGTGTTCAGGAACAACACAGGAAGGGCCCTCCTGCCCCCACCAACTCTCTAGCTCTTAAATGTTCCTCCAATAAAAAAGGAAAGATGTAGGGCCTCCCTGGTGGTGCAACGGGTTAAAGCACAGCACTATGAAGCTATGTGCAGCCACTGCAGCATGAGTTCAATCCCTGGCCAGGGAGCTGACCCATATGGCACAGCAGACCTCTCCTGTCTCACCTTCTGCTCCCTTCAGCAGTGTGTTTCAGTCAATCTGCCTGTTCTGTTCCCCACTCTGTCTCTGGTGAATCTTCCCACAGCCTGCACCTCTGGCCTGTACCCCAGTTCTTGTATGCATAAATATTTAAATCTTTAAAAAAAAAAGATGGAATAAGTATGAGTTCATCTTTCTACTCTTTTTGTAACTTTATTGATTATTGACCAGTGATACACTGTCCATGTTGAAAGTGGGCCATGGGTTAAGTTTTGAATGGGACCTTTCATATTCCACATCATTTTCATTTCTATTTTTTTAAAGATTTATTTATTTATGCATGTAAGAACTGGAGTTCAGGCCAGAGGTGCAGGGGGTAAGAGGATTCACCAGAGACAGAGTGGGGAGCAAAACAGGCATATTGAAGTACATTGCTGAGGGGAGCAGTGGGTGAGGCAGGAGAGGTCTGCTGTGCCATGTGGGGATTGAACTCATGCTGCAGTGATTGTGGCCAGCTTTGTAGTGCTGTAATGTAACCTCTTGCGCCACCAAGAAAGGCCCAGTCCACGTATACTCTACACTGCGTTGTGCTTGTTTCTTCACCCCACTGATGGACATAGATCCATGAGGCTATGTGAGTGCTGGGGCCCACCAGGCACCCTGTCAGCCATCATCTCAAACCTCATGGTCATGAAAATCAAAATTCAAGTCACTGTTTTACAGGGATGTGTAACACCCTGAATCCTCTCACCCTCTGGCGTATATACACTGTTGGCTACGACTGGGGGGAAACCAAAAGTTCTGAGTGGATTTTCAACTGCAAGGGGTTGCGTTGGCACCCCAACCCCAGCATTGTTCAAGGTTGACTTTATTACAGTTATTTGCTTCCCTTGGGAGGAAGGTGGCACCTAGACTCCCATGGGTGGATGAAGTGCTAGAAAGTGGAGGAGGCTCCTGCTGCCTGGGGACTCAGGAGGGAGGTGGCCCAGCAGGCACCTGAACGGGCATGGGCACCCGCTCCCTCCACCCCAACCAGGACAGAAGAGGCCGGTCTTTTAGGGCATCCACCTTCACCAAGGGTATGAGCTAGGCTGGCCTGCAGGCCACCCTCCTCTGAGACCTTCAGTTTTATGGGAGGCAACTGATGCCAGCGCAGTGGCAGGCCCGGGGCCAGCACCAGGCCCTGCTCCCAGTCCTGAGCACTGTGCTGTATGTAGCCTCTTCTGTCAAACTCACATTTTCCCTTCCCTGCACTGTTAACTACAGCTGATGTCTGAACTGCGTGGGTCCTCTTCCGCTCAGGTTTCCTGGTAAACAGATGACATTAACTTATGGGAGCAATAATTCCAGTAAATGTAATTTTTTCTTGTACTTCTCTTAATATTTTCTTTTCTCTAGTGTATGTGACTGTAAGAATATATGTAATATCCAGAACGTGCATTGACTGTATGTTCTCAGTAAGCATTCTTACTTGTTCTCAGTATGCATTTCAGTTAATAGCAGGATATTAAGTTTTAGGGGAGTCAAAAGCTATGTGTGTATGTTGGGGGGGGGTCTGGTCAGCACCCTTAGTCCCTGAATTATTCAAGGGTCAACTATATATTAGTTTTCTGCTATTTGTTCTCTTGGGGGAGAAAGACCACATGGAGTTCTAGAGTTGCAGGCTCATGTTTGAGTTTCACCTTGTGACTCATTCTGCACTGTGCTGGCATCTGTAGGACAAGAGGCTCTTCCCATTCTGGATCACTTTGGAGGCCCAGGTACCTACGGGGTTTTACTGGGAGTCAGCGATCCCCCAGCACTGAGCCCTCAAACCAGCCAGAGAAAGGCCTTACAAATTGCGGAACTGGCTCTGACCCTTGGTCTCAGCGGGAAACTGCATTGAGAAGTGTCATCTGCCTAAAAGTGGCCAAAAGCAGAACCAAGTCTGGGCCTGCTCCTCATGGGCCTGCTGGAGCTACTGCTAGGTAGGAAGTGCACCTCCCTCCTGGGATCTCGGGCAGCCACAGTTGTGGGCTTTTTTTTTTTTTTTTTTTACTGGATCTGAGACCAGTTTCCTAAGTTGGTCTGTAAAATCCATAGTCAACCCAAGGCCATTGGGTCTGAGCTTGGTGGAAGCCTGGGGCAGGTGGGACTGACTGGACGACTTGGCTTTGCAGGTGTAAAGTCAAACAGGGTTGAACAGATATGTCCAGCTGAGAATGTGACTCTATAAAAAATGTCAGCAGACATGACTAAGGTAAGGATATCTTGATAAGATCATTCCCAGATGGTTTCTAAATTGAAGGAAAGTGTTCTAAAAGACAGATGAGGAGACATAGAAAGACAGAGAAGCCCATGTGAAGATCAAGGCAGAGACTGGGGTGATATAGCCACAAGCCAAGGACGCCTGGAGCCCCTAGAAGCTGGAAGAGGAAGGAAGGACCCCTTCCTAGAATTGGTAGATGGAGATTGCCCTGAGATGCCTTGATTTTAGACCTCTGGCCTTCAGAACCGGGAGGAGAAATTCCTGTTATTTTTAAGCCTCCTGGTTGACGGTGCTTTTACAGAAGCTCCAGGACTCAAGATAGAAAGCAGGTAGAGAAGAGGGCTAGGGCAGGAGTGGAAGGAACGGCATCCTTGGGAAGAGAGCCTCAATACTGAGCCAGTTTGGGACCCCGGAATATTTGAGGCAGCTTTTTGCATCTGTGTTCTTCTAGGGGAGCCCCAGAGAAGTAGAAACAACATGTTTCTGTATAACCCCACCCTATCAGACATTCTGGACATCTTTTGCTGTTAGAGGTTCTCCCTGTGGCAGCTAACAGTTGGATAACATTTGGCCCAGGGGAGGAAAAAATGGAACATAAGCAGTGAGGGTCTTTATGGAGAAGGACAGATTGGGTGCTGGGTGTCTCTGGTCAACTGAGGCACTTCCTGTGGGAGGGGGTGGTGCCCATGCAGAGGCAGAGGGAGTCCCAAACAGATGTAGTATATAGCAAAGGCCGCGCTACTGGAGCCTTGACTGGGAGTGGGAGTGAGGAGGAAAGAAGCCAGAGACTGGAGGAGTAGGGAAAACAGCATTCCTGTTCTTGCCCTAAATGTGAACTGCCAACTGATCATCAGTCAGGTGTAGAAGAGTCTAGATAGGGCCCTCGCTGGTAGCGCAATGGGTTAGAATATATCACTGCGAAGCTTCAACTATATCACTGCAACTGCTTCAGCATGAGTTTGATTCCTGGGAGAGCTGACTCACATGGTGCAGCAGACCTCTCCTGTCTTGCCCACTGCTCCCCTCAGCAGTGTGCAGTTAATCTACCTATTCTGCTCCCTACTCTGTCTCTGGTGAATCCTCCCACCCCTGTACCTCTGGCCTGTACCCCACTTCTGTATGCATAAACAAATATTCTCAAAAAAAAAAAAGAAGAGTCTAGACACAAGAATTGATTCCCTGTCCCCATCATACTGGGAGGGGGAGCACCCCTTTCCTGAAATGTCTGTACCTTCTCTGCCCTCTGGGAGCTGCAGCTTGGGTCTCCTCCCCACCTCTAAAATTCAGGGCTTCTCATCCCCCTATTCAACATCATCTAAAACTTTTACAAATGCCACTGTCATCAAGACCCTCATACCAAAACTGAGGGGGTGGTGATTCCTGTGACTAGTCAGGCAATGAATCCTCATAAACAAACATCCACCCAGCCACCAGCCATCATCTATCCTACCCACCAATCAACACATCCACCCACCCATTAGTGAATCTTACCCTCCTCTCATCCATCCATCCATCCATCCGACTGACAATGGAGTTTTCCCATGAATTCTATTTGTCCATCTACCCACTCATTCACTGATCTACCTTCCTCCTGTCTCCCTCATATTCATCTTCCACCACCCTTCACAGCTCCCCCCAACAAATGCATCATGTTTCCTGACTACAGGGCCAAATGCCAGAGCTCCTACCTGGAGACCTACAGAGTTACAAATGTTACCAAGACCAGGAAATGGATTGTGCAAATCCCCTCACAACAGCACACCCAGCAGCTCAGATTCTGTGGGTGCTGGGTCAGTGCTCAGTGCTCCCAGGAAGTAGGACTTCCCCAGCTGCCCTTCCTACCTACTGCTCAGTCCTTCACATCAAGGACTCCCCCCATGTAATTCATAAATGCCTGCTCAGCCACTGAGCTCCTGGACCGACCGTCCCCTAACTCCTGGGAGGCCGGGGACATCAGATGGAGGCTAACTGCATGATGGGCAGATGCCAACTCACCCTCTCACGATGCCGCTCTCCAGGTAGTTGACCTGGATGAATTTCCCAAATCGGCTGGAATTGTTGTTGTGGGCCGTTTTGGCATTCCCAAATGCCTGTGTGGGGAAAACAAAAGCATGCTTTCAGATGTGAGGATGAAATTTCCCTGGGCCTCAGAGCTCCCTCTGGGCGCTGGGGACATACACTGGAAACTGCTCCGAGAAACGCCAACATTTAGGCCTGTAGCCAGGTCCATGCACGTATGTCGGCTCCTGAGCTCTGTGTTTGTATGTGGAGCCCAAGTTTTAAGGCTTTGTGATTCAAAATGCCAGTCAAGGGAATTCTTTCTCGGTTATATTTGTTTCTATAGGAAAAATAAGCAAAATCTGGCCAGCTGCTTGTTTTTTTCATGCTGCCTACAAGTCAGGGATGTTTTTTACATTTGTAAATGGTTTAAGGAAAATCCCAAAGAAGAGTAATATTTCCTGACACATGAAAACCCTACTCCCACCCCAGGGGCCATAGAGAAAGTCTTACTGGCACGGAGCCAGGCCTGTTCATTTACAGGTCACTCCCGACTGCTTTTGGTGACACAATGGCAGAGCTGAGCTGTTGGACAGAGGCTGTCTGGCTGGAAAAGCTGAAAATAATTATTATCTGGCCCTTTTGGGAAGGAGTTTACTGGGTCCTGAGCTAATAGGGGCTCTGGGAGGGGTGTGAGGGAATGAATGAGGTCACAAGTCCTAGCCTGGAGGAATCCTGCAACCATGGGAAAACAAGTGGCTTCATAGCAAAATTTTTAGAAATTAGGGTTAAATGGGCATAACATAAAATTAACGATTCAATGCTACTCACAGTGTTGTGCAAGCACCATCTCTGTCTAATTCCAGAACATTCCATCACGAAAAGGAAACCCCATCCCCATGAAAAGTCATTCCCTGTTCCCCTCCCCCAGCCCGGCAACCACCAATCTGCTTTCTGTCTGTGTATTTGCCTGTTCTGGGCCTTTCATATAAATGAATCACACACTATGTGGCCTTTTGTGTCTGGCTTCTCTCACTCAGCAGGATGTTTTCAGGATTCATTTGTGTTGTGGCATGAATTGGGGTTTCATTCCCCAAACATAAGAGGCAAGAATGCAAAGTACATGGAGCTTGCACCTCAATGCCCACCCCCACCTTCCACCCCCCACTCCCAGGGCCTCCCATGTGACCCCTACCCAGAAGAGGACAGAGAACACCTCCCTCCTGCCCAGGTTCCTGGAAAGTATCCACCCTGCCTCCCCCCTCCCCCTCGCCCCCCCAGGGATAAATAGATTGAACAGACCAGGGAAGAGTTCCGAACAGACCAGGGAAGAGTTCCACACAGCCTTGAGGGGACCTGGGATATTGTTTTGTTTTTTGGGGGGGGGAGGGGGCATGTATACTGTTTCAAGGAGTGTGAAGCTGCAGGAAAGGGAGGAAGAGAGGAAGAAGTGATCACAGAGGCCATTTCCTCCTTGTGGCCAAGAGGGTGACTCTGGGAGGGGGCAGGGCGGGGTGGTAATGCCTAGAGTCACACACGTGTATGAATGTGTGTATGTACATGAAAGTAAATGAGAAGGGTGTCAGGCCAGCAATGCTCCTGTTTGGGGAAGCTGTGCAGGGAGGCTGGGAATGACCAGGCCCCAGCCAAGTTTTGAGGAGCAGGTTGCAGGTTTGCTGGGGTGGACATGGTGGGGAGATGTGCTAACACCAAGAGCAGATGGGGCTTTCTAGTTCTTTCTGCAGAGGGATGGATGCAGATGGTTCACTGATGGGAGCTTCTGGAGCAGTGACCTGACGGTAGAAGTCCTGTCAGAAAGGATATGCTATGGGAGACCCAGGACCTTTCCTCAGGGAGCAGCTGTGAGGGGCTTTCTGCCTCACTACCAGAAAGGGCTCCAGACTTCAGAGCTGTTTGAGCCTGACCTTACTGCCAAGGGGCCCAGTAGGAATGTGGCAATAAAGGAAGACCCTTAGAGTGACAACCTGGAGGTGGGGGGCTTTGGAGAGGTTGTTTCTATCTGGTCTGTGAAGGAGGTATATGGCCTGAGACATTTTCTTGAACCAGATATCCAGTCCAGAGTCTCTCACTCCAAGACCCTTTGATCTTGTAACAGATACAGGTTTCATGGGCTCCACCCCCACTCCAGATACTGGAACTACAGATCCCATCATACCGATGAGAAGTATGCTGGAGCCTGAGGGTGGAGCTGAGCAGCCAGGTTGGGAGAAAACCGGACATGTGGGCTCTGGGTGTCTCTTGGCCTCGTGCTCAGCAGCTGGTTGTTTGGCTCTTGATCAGCTTTCAGTGTGTTATTGGAGTTCCAAGTCAGCAGAACTGGTAGGACGCTCTAGTTAACTTGTATCTCTCTCTCTCTCTCTTTCCCTGGGTTGTTCCTTTTCCTTTCCCCTTGTAAATAAACCCATTGCTGAACCTTTGTGTGTCCACAGTCCAACTGAATCTTAAGCATGCAGGTGGGACCCAGCTTACATTGGGGTGCCCTGTAACAATCTGTCTTTGGAGGGTTTGATTCAGTATCAGGTCTTGATGTTTACCCATAGAGCTACTGGCCAGCAGCCATGCGCCAGCTGCTAGGGGCACGTTGAGTGTCTGTGGAACCCTGAGCAGGGCTCCTGCACTGCTGACACTTGGAGTCAGACACTTGGGGACAGACACCCTGTGCACTCTGGGGCGCTGAGCAGCATCCTTGCCCCCCCCCACTAGCTGCCAGCAGCATCTGTGACAGCCAAGAAATGTCCCCAGAGAAGGCGAAATTGCCTGGGTTGGGAGGCGCAGACAGATGAAAGGGTTTGCAAGGATGGATGTCTGAGGTTACTGGGGTGCACTGAGGGACCCCATGTGCATGGGAGGTACTGAGAAATCCTCTGGGAAAAAAACTCTTTCTAGGTTTAATGTATATTTTCTCCCAGGTTCTGCCATACAACTTTTTTTGGTTTGGAGTAAAGCCCATGCACTCTGGAGGCTCCCTTCTGGGGGCTTCCCCTCTGGGGCAGCAACTGCTCGCTGTCTCCTTCCATTCCACAGACAAGGGACCCTTCAGGGTGGTACCTGAGCTAAAGATGGGCCCAGGCCCGCCCCCATTCTGTGTGAAGTCCCGCCTGGCCTAACTGTGAGCACATGGCCAGTGCTCCCTGACTCCACGTGGGCACCATGTCCAGAATCTGCAGAGATGTCCCCAAAATGCACATTTACACTCCATACAGTCCCAGGAATCCCTTTGGAATTTAGGACAAGTCTCTGTGTCAGCGTCTAGGAAGCACCGGGTCTGGCATTCTGGGTCGACAAGAGGGACAGGATGTGAGGGCAGCAGCCCCGTGGAGCCCTGGTTTTCTGGCTCTGTGATTACCCGTGCGGGCCGGATGACCTCATGCGTCTGGTATGCGGTCTCAGCACAGTGCAACTTTTCAAAGCTGATCTAAAAATATCCGGTTGGTGCTATTATATGTCCAAGGAGGAGGGAATGCTGGAGGGGGGCTCCCCGGAGCCAGGAGAACTATTGTGTGCTGCTCCCGCGCTGGCCGGCGGCCGGGGTGGCCCGCCTCCAGCACTAGGGCTGCCGGTGTGCTTGGTGGGGTGTGCTTGGTGTGGGGCCGGGGGTGGGCGGCAGGGTGGAAGTGGGTCCGGGCGCCAGCGATGATGTGAGTAATTTGGCAAGGGGGGCCAGAGAGGCGGGGATGCTGTCTTCCCAACAGGCCAGAAACCCGACAAGCTTGGCAAAGTGCTTTTCGGAAAAGTTCTCTACTTTCTTGAAGACACTGTTTTCTCTTTTGTGCTAAAAATACACATTCCTAGATGGAAACTAGGCTTTGGGTGGAGAACATAGTGTAACATATACAGATGTCAAGCTGTAACAGTATACAACACCTGGAACTTATATATGATTGTATATCGTTAGTTAAAAAATAATCTAAAGACATTGAACTGTATGCGGTAATTTAACACAGGTTGCATATCAAATCTGATGGGGAATGGTGAGAACTGGGGATAGTAATGGAAAAAGGATAAAAATACACATTTCTTTACAATTGAGATGGAAAAAAATGTACAAAATGATGTAAAAATAAACTGTTATAAAACAAAAAAAGGGCTAGAAAAAAATACACATTTCTAATATAAGCTGTACTTATAGAAATATACATATCTAACTCGCTAGCTGCCTATCAAAAGTTAGAAGTTTACACAATGAAAGAAAAAAAGAAAACCTTATTAATTTGAAAACGCCCCAATTGTGGTTTCTAGGTAAAACTGTCAGAGAAGTAGCATCCCTTCCTTTGGGACCTGCGGGTCCCTATGTCCCCAACAGGTGATTCCCTGTCCCACCAGGAATACTAAGAGCTGGCAGGAGGACATGTGGTCAATTTCCAACATTCTTGTCTTTGAGGTTCTTCTTTTGGGAGATTCAAAAGGTTTCTGAAATTGGAGACAACCATGGATAAGCATTGTGCTTAGCAAAAAACTCCTGGAAGGGACACTCTGTATCTAAACAGGACACACATCTCTTGGCTGGAGGGTTCTGTAAATATTTTGGGAAGAAAAGAAACCAGAGGCAGAATGACCTAAGACGTGACTAGGCAGCCAGATGCACCAGAGGCTTCTGATTCTTTCTTTTGCTTGTACTTTTCTCAGAGACAGACTTGCCATCTCCATTTCAGATAGGGAAATGCAGAGAAGTCAGCCAGCCACCCGCCCTGAAGTCTTAAGACCAAGCATGGTGGTTCTCTCCATGCTGTGTCCCTGAAGCCTGGCCCCAGGTTGCTCATCCAGGGCTGGGCAGTCAGGCAGGTGGGTTCCCAAGGACTCTTTGAATTCACACCTGGGCCTCACACAAGTGCAAAACGAATAAGCTTGGAGACAGACCAAGTCAGGCAAACCAGTTTTGCTTTCCAATTTCCAAATTCAACAGATCCATGGAGTGAGCTAAGAGGCGGATGCACTCCCCCATTTGGCCTTGTCCACAGGCCCTGACCTGGGGTTTCCCCTGGAGAAAAGTCACCCATCCAGGGGAAATCTCCAATCTCCATCCTTCCAGTGGGCGGAGGAAGCCTGACCAGGGTTAACTGTCACCCCCAGG